TCCTAAAAACAAACAAACATGGTGCCAAAATTACAACAGCTACTTCTGGCAACACAGCAGCCACACCTTGTAATCAGAGCACAGTATCATTCCCTTACACAGGTAACAGTATCCCCTAAAGCCCACCACAAGGTTGGGAATAAAAATATGATCCTCAACATGTAAACCTATCCCTGAAGATCAACTGGATACGAGCTACTACAATCCTTACACTAAAATATATTTGCATAAACCTGCAAGAATAAAAAGTACAAACTAACCCATCTAAAGTAAGTTCCAGTGGATGAGGTAAAACTTCAACTGCAGTACAGTACAGTACCTGTATATATTAAAATCCCATCCATTTTAACACTTATACAGTACAGGTAGCTATGCCATACAAACATTACAGTACTGTACTGTACTGCAATATTGGGAGAGATATGTACTGAGTATATTATGTAAAAATTTAAAAACATAAATCAAACAATGTAAAGTACTGAACCCCTCTGATACTGTATATAGTTGGTCATAAAAATCGCATACAGTTTTATATGTTCTGTACCATATATGGTAACCAAGGGTTGATGACCACATGAAGTGGAACAATTACTGTACATATACAGTGCTGGTACAATAGTTCTCAAAATGAATCACAGTACAGAGTACTGTACTACGGTAATGCATAATTTGTCAGAGTTGTATAAAATCATAGGGAAAAGATCCTCCCTGAATCCATTAAATTATTGAGGGAGAGGTTTACAGCTTTCAGTTAACTGTAGACATATGACCTTCTAACCTTGGCTTACCCACAGATACATTTCTCGTTAGAACCACAATCAAATCTGTCATATAGAATAGGCCTACCTAACAGTAAACCACATGACCTTTGATCCCTTTATGTTGACATTTCATCAAACTCTTCAAATACTTGAACCTTACAACAACAGTTTTCCTAAACTGAATGTGAAAATTTGAAATTTATTTTTCAAAAAGCCTGGGAAGTAGAGTACAATATATACAGTATAGTGCAATACTAATCCTACTCCAGTACAGTACATATGTCCTGAACACAATACAGTACTGTACTGTATAGTACAGTATCCAAAAACCATAGGCTATTTTTGTGAAGCTGACTTTACTGATCACAATAAAAACTAAAGCTATAAATCCTGTTTCATTAGGTTTATATGCAAGCGTTTGAAGATATAGATACAATACACGTAAGTAATAAAGTTCATGCAGTACAATAGACCCTTGCCATTCGTGGTAAGCAGATGGTGGCTAGCTTGCAAGTCTTTTCCCGCAGTACAACAAATCACCCCACACAGCATCTTGTGTTACACTCTCAAAACTTTAGTGCTTCTGTGCGAAATGGCCCCCAAAAGACTGCCTAGTGTCAGTGCTAGTGGAGTAAAATGCAAAAGGCAGTTGCCTCAAGTATATAAGGGATTCATTCGTCCTAATTTGGAGTACTGCTCTCATATCTGGGGGTTGTTCTTCTTCTGTCCAACTGTTAGATAGGGTGGAATCGAAGGCATTTCACCTTATTAACTCTCCTCCTTTAGTTGACAATCTCTCTTCCCTTTCTCTTCGCCACAATGTTGCTTTACTCTCTCTCTCTTTTACAGGTACTTTAATGGGCAATGTTCGGTGGATTTGATGTCCTGTGTACCGCCAGCAAGGCCGTGGGCTCATAACACACGTCTTGCCCGCGGTGCCCACCATTTCTCTGTGAATGTCGGTCACACTAGAATAACTCGTTATAGTACATCCTTCTTTCCTCACACAGCCAAACTGTGGAATGCTCTGCCTTCTTCTGTTTCCAACTCATATAATCTGTCACACTTTAAAAAGTTGGTTTTCCTGCATCTTCGTGGTGTAGATTAATATAATCTTTTCCTTTTTATTCTTATTTTTTCGGCCCCTAAGCCCCGATGTGGGTCGATGACCTGTGCCCGGGTGGGCTATTCCCCGCAAAAAAAAAAAAAAAACATACTGATGTTTTGCCACATTACAACCAGTTCCACTGCTTGTTGGTCTCTTAGGAGGCATTTTTTGTGGTAAATTATAAGTATTTAAAGGTAAAATAGTGACAACAGCCACTAGAAGTGAGCTATGACACCGTCCCGAACCATCGAAGCTGCCAGACTATCAGGTTCTGGATTAGCGGGGTCCAACCTGTATTTCCATATTCTTGCATTTTCAAGAATTTATGCATGTCAGAATTTTAGTTTCTTTATTTGATGCAATAATACTTTTCACATACTTACTAGGCAGCCCCGTCTACACCCAGCCCATATCACTCATATAATCTGCCAAACCCATATTTGAAGATTCCTTGCATGTTCGAGTTAATCATGGTGCTTGGTAACTTGTTCTACTCGTCCACTGCTCATTTCCCTTCAGTGTTTACCTATCTCACGCCTAAATGTAAATTTATCTAATTGAAAATCATTATGTGTTCGATCTTGGTTTGATAGTTTAAGTACCTTTGTTATATTACTTTTGTTTAACCCTGACTTCCATTTATACACCTCAATCATATCGCCCCTCACTCTACATCTTTCAAGGGAGTGCAAATTCAGATGTTTTAATCAGTATCCATACTCAAGGTTCTTAATGCACAGGATTAGCCTTGTCATCTTCGTCTGAATGCTTTCTAAGGATTCAATATCCATTCCATAGTAAGGTTACCAAAATTGACCTACATAATCCAAATGAGGTCTAACATATACGATATAGTTTAAGGATTACTTCACTAGTCTTGTAATTAACACTGCTTTGTATAAACCCACATACAGTACCTTGTTAGCCTTCGTTTATGGTTCCTACATATCATTATCCCTAAACCATTCTTATAGTCCGGTTTCTCTATACTGTACCAACGTTGGTCAATAAAATTCATTTATAATATTGGAATTAGTTAATTTTACCGCTACACCACCACGTTAAGTAATGTACTGCAATGTCCCTCAGGACTCATTTAGCTTAAAACTCGGGTTGAAACACGACGACCTTTTTCAAGGGAAGATGTTGTTTAATAATACAGGCATAAGTTTCTATATTATTAAACCACGGAAAGCAGTACTGTACTGCAGTAGTGATCTACCAGCCTTGGATAGTCCAAGCACATGTAATGCTTCTTGAATTCTATCATATAAACTTTCACTAATACTCATGTAGACATACTATTACTGATTAGAGACCAAGTGTAAGCCTAAGCAAAGAACCCTCCTGGAAATAAGCACCTCACAGCTTTATCGGCTATTCTTAGTCAATTAGCTATTAGTATTTGTCCATTGGCTGTCCGCAGGTTTCCAATTTTCAATATTACAGACACAAAGACTAGAAAAAACGAAACATCCGACTTCATATAATTTCTTGTGCATATCAATATTAACGGAGTACCTCACAAATTTCTACGCGCATATTTCTGTATCCGCCATATTGCCAGAGGCACTTGTCTCCTTCTTTCCTCCTCCTTTTCGTGAAATGACAACCGATGACATACAAGTATCGTGTCATGTGACTTGGCTGGCCAATCATTTTTAACCAGCCTTCCACCACGCATTTTCAAATTTTGAAGGTTTTAGTGATGGCATGTGATAAGTGTTCTCTCCCATATCTAACTGTTATTCAGCGTTTATGAGAACGACAGTGATACAATAAAAATAATTCAAGATCACGGTGTCCTACCAACATCAAGACTGTGTCCTAAGTGTGGAAATTGTTTAATTTTAAGAAAAGACAGAAATTACCATTCTCCAGATCGCCCAGCTGTATCCTCCACCACAGTAGCAGGTAGACTCCGAAAAACTGGGCTAGGTTGTATATATTGTAGGTTAGGTTAGGTTTTTTAATCAAACCTGACTACATTTTTTTTTGCAAATCAGCAGTTTCTGTTACAAATGATTTATATATATATTTTTTTTGCAAAATCCGCTAATTTGCACAAGAATTGAAGTTCAGATTTGAGCAAAGCACACCATAAAACACCAAAACAAACCTATTCTTGTGTCAAAACCTGAGGACAGCCAATGGACGAATATTTACCCAAATTGCCTTACTGTTAACCATTGATTACCTGTATTGTCTCGGCACACAGGAAACTAAATACAGTACTCCAACGGCCTATGTACACCATATACCTTTACTGTCTATATTCATGTGAACTGTATTACTGCATTGTTTATAAACATGCTTATCCAATTGTAAGCCTGTATGACAATTTCACTGAATAAATATTATGAAGTGTTACTATGCTGTCGTATATTAGATTTATGTCTATTTTAAACTCCCTTTATTGTGATAAGTTCCACTTTAAATTCCAAGTACAATACTGTATTTGCTAATGTGGTAATGTTAAAACTTATGTGCAGAAGTTAATTACATATGTAGTAGCTGTATTAACAGTAGACCAGATTATTTGTTTTACATTATACCTGCCATAAGTGACAAGTACAAAGGGGTACAGTATTCTTATTTTACACTAATTCCATTCACTCATGACGTAGTACAGGAGTTATGCACTTGACTATTGATTGTAAAGTCCAGTGGGAAGTGACCGACCACTTGACAATTACCATACTGGGCAGTTTCCTTTGCCACAATATAAGTAAAACAATAGGGTGACATTACAAGGTAACTAAATCATCTGTAAGCTGATTATACTTACAAATTAAAGCAAATTTTTTTTACTTGTGAAAAATACACATCCATGCTTCTTTGTTGACATAAGTGTGGTGGAGTCTGTCTTGGGAATCACCGATCGATGGGTCCGCCTCACTCACCGCTGCCGGGAACTGCGTTTCCATTTATTACATTTCCTTGTACTGATGACGCAGCCTTTAGCTAATAATCCATTAGACTATTACTGAATATGCACTCCTTAATTTCTGAACGAGGTCATAGGATGTGTGACATGCTAAAGAAACGTTCTGCATGTATTCTGCCAAAACAATTCGCCACACCTCGTCCTCAATTCTCTTCCTTCACAAGCAACAATGAGTTTTAATTACCTGTTTGATGGCTCTTCCAATTTCATGGACAATGCGGTCTTTGACTCCTCCCCTTATAGCTGCCATTACTTCAAAACAACACCACGATGAGGTGGTGTGTTCCTGAAACGGATAAAACTCCTTACACCATCCCTGCCGCCGCACCACCACCAGCTGACTGACTCCCGAGCCAAGCAGTGAGAGGAGTGACCTGCCAGGGCCTTGTTGCCAACACAAAGGAAAATTTAATTTACAATTATTTTTAACCGTTGATATTAATAATTTGAATAACTCAAATATTGCTTTTAACAAATTACTTAATAATCAAAATTGTAAAAGATATTAATTCTTCATTATGCTGTTTGATATCCACTGATCATACGTCTGACTTGGATGTGCTGTTGTTGTTTCTCTTGCCCATTCACGCGTCTCGGCACGGGTTCAAGTGATAAAGGGTTTTGCATTGATTTTTTAACCTTCTTTTTTTCCTTGTGAGGGGCGGATCCAGGGGGTCAGATGCTTCCTTCCTAACTTTCGAGACATAAGCAGCATATGTATTTTAATGTTTCAGAAAGTGTCACTATTTCTGTTTTGTTTTCCAAAAAGTCTCACCATCCATGATAATGAACGAAACCAATATCGTATCATCATTAACTCGAATAGGCCTCCGCTGAATAGCTTCAAACATAGGTTGGATGGATATTGGAGCGATAGGGGTTGGATGGATGGGCGATAGGGGTTGGATGGATGTAGGGGTTGATGGGCGATAGAGATGGATGGATATTGGGCGATAGGGGTTGGATGGATATTGGAGCGATGGGGGTTGGATGGATATTGGAGCGATAGGTTGGATGGATATTAGACGATAGGGTTGGATGGATATTGGAGCGATAGGGGTTGGGTGTAAATAGGACTGCCCAGTATGGGCTAATAGGCCCGCTGCAGTGTCTTCCATTCTTATCTTCTTATGTATACAGTATATGATAAATCGCCAACTAATATAAGGGACTGTGTGTCAGTAACAATTCTTTTTACTCTAATACTTATAATCATTGGTAGCGTGACGAGAGGAGGCTCGTGGGTATATGTAATGATAGTATCAAGTAATAGGGAAGAAATAACGGTAGATACTGTAGGTAAATAATAGACGCAATATACAAATACAAAATTTATTTAAACATTAATATGGAGATAGGAGAAAGAATATATGTACCAACAGACGAAATCTGGTATTATGCCCTCAGGCTCAACATACTCACACCACTACTGGGTGGACGTACTCAATAACACTCAGTCGTCAGGAGTGATACTCAAAGCAACCGCCATGGGGTCCTGCCACCATGGGGTACTTTCCGACGAACTCTGAAGATCCCAGTGGAGTAACCCCACCACACAAATAGCCCTACTGAGTTAGACACTCATCCACCAATGATGGGGGCTGGTAGTGGTGTGTGGCTTGGTGATCTGGGGTCACCTCGCAGGCCGAGCGTTAGGGCCAGACGAGCCAGCTATGGGGGCCATAGGTAATCTGAAGTGTCTGACGGTCGGTCTCACGAAGGTAACTGATCCTACTGGACCTCGGACATCTCCCCAGACATAGTGGATAGCGCGGATGTTGTATCCACTGGATACAACATCCGCGCTACAGACACGGCCTAGGCTGCGTTAGGGACCTGTATGGGTGGAGGGCGAGCACTTACTAACAGTGACAACGACATCACATTTCAGGGGACGTTAAAGACGTAAATATGACTTCACTCAGAGCATATCAACTACGTTACTGTAACACTTGCACAATCAACTATTAATTGGGTCAAATCACTTAAAGAAGGGCGAATTACAACACAGTGGAATGGCCTACCTGTATGGGTGAAGGGGCGAACATTTACTAACAGTTGAAATGCCCGCGGCACCCTCACTCAAAATAGGTCAGGAAGTCCACCTACTTCTATTTCGATGAATTAATTTACTGTACACTCTGACGTTGAAACTGAGACTATGAACTCCGTTTCATTCCCTACTATTATCCTCACTAACAATGCTCTGACTGAGCTCTCAAAAGCAAAATTAAATTGATTACAAAGGGTTGGATGGCAACAGGTCCCAACATACAGCGTCTTGCTACGAAATCCGCAGATTATATTCAAAGTTCCCTTTAGACAAGGACGGCCTATCGATGACGTCATCAAGGAAACAGAGAAAACGGGGGACCTTTCCACTGGGGGACTCGGAAGGTTTTGTGAACGTTTGAGAGTAATATGAATCCTTAAGGTTTTCAGGTTAGCCGTCATCACAATCATGACACTAAGACCGGAATATTTTTTTTACGGAATTAGCCCACCAGGGCACAGGTCACTTATCCACATTAGGTACAGGGGGCGAAAATATAATAATAATAATAATAATAATAATAATAATAATAATAATAATAAATAAAAAAATAATAATGATATATATATATATATATATATATATATATATATATATATATATATATATATATATATATATATATATATATATATATATATAATGATAAAAAAATTATAATAAATAATAATTGAAAAATGAAAGAAAAATATCAAAAGTGAGAAACAATATAAGTATGTCAAAGTAAGAGAAACAATAGAAACCCTACAATTGTGTGTAAATGAGGCAGAAAATCAGGTCAGCAGCCTGGGACTTGGTCACAATTTTTGTGATGGCATATGGCAGCAGGGTCTACCATTAGACAACACATTATAGGCGTTTCAGATGCACGGAATAGCTAACGCATGAGCTATTCTGTCTGCGCAGACACTGCTGCTGACTTCTACGCATGACACTTTCAGAGGGAAAAGGAAACGACTCGACCAGGCGTTAGTGTTTGCAGCAGGCAGAGGCGCCCGAACAGCTAATAACCAATCAGCGAATTTCTCCCACTGAACTACTGTAAATACGCGGATCATGGCCGCTTCTGGAGAATATTTTGATTAATATTGAAGAGTTGGGTGCACGTAAGGCAATAAAAAGATGTGATATAATAATAATAATAATTCTATATACGGTAGTATATTGGATAGGACCTAAAACAAAGTGTATGGCATGAAAAAATTGAATAGGATTGTGCCTAGTTGAAACCTATTTTGGCTCCGCCCCTTTTTAGTGGGTGCTGTCCCATTTCATTAGTCGCTTGTGAATTTTGTGTAAAATATTGCTAATTACTCAAATATGATTAAAACTTTAATATCATTACTCATAAGTTACTTTAAATAGGGGTGAACAAAATGATTACAGTTCTGTAATTGCAAAAATTAAGACTTAAACGAACCTGAAATTCGTCTTATTTCGTGTTTATATATGCGAACACCTTTAAACAACACAATGTAGCCGCGAGACGAGAGAGCATTGTAGTATAGGCTATAGAGCACCTTTCCTGTAAAAAAAATGGATCAAGCCATGTAAGTAATGTAGGAAAGATATTACAACAATACCTCACAAATCCTTGATTCTTACAGTATAATCTGCTACTGAAGTATAAAGCTACCATTGTGTCCTTTACATACAGTTCTCCTAATTTTATTGTTTTCTGAAAACTGTGTTGTACAACAGTTATTCCCAAGACGCGGTACGGTCGTATTCTTTATTGACAGTCCGGGAAAGCTAACGCGTTAGCTATTCTGTGCATCTTAAAATACCTTACAAAAAATACCTTATTTTACTTTTATCCTCTTCACCACTGATCGGCTAGTTAGCCGCTTGGGCGATCGGTCACGTCTCTGTTACGCACTGTTGGCAAGTACTGGGCATGCACCGGGTCCTGAATATACCTGAACCTGCTCCAGTGTTGGTCAAGTCACAACACTTTCTGGCAGATTGCTCCGAGAGTTCACAACTCTCACTCCGAAAAAGTTTGCCCTCACAGTTTTCTGGACCTGCGGCCGAGTAGTGCCCTTTGAGATGTTTATACACTTCGATTAGGTCGCCTCTTGCCTGTCTGTAGTATAAGCTAGGCAATTGCAGGCATTCTAATGTCTCTGGGTAGCTGAAGTTCCATACACCAGGCACCAGTCTGGTGGCCCTCCTTTGGACATTTTCAATCAATTGACAGTCTCTAGCATATCTCGGGGACCAGACTGGGTGACAGTACTCCAGACGGGGAAGCACCTCACTCTTGAAGATTGTGACGAGCGACGGACCATCCGGATATCTAAACAACCTTATAAGACCTATTAGTTTCGTTGCTTGAGTCACCTTCTTCTCACAATGGCCAAAGAAAATAAGTTCCTTGTCGACATACACACCCAGGTCCTTTTCACATTCGGTCTCGATTAATGCCGTTTCTTCATCTTGTTGGGACATGTGATATGCCTCCTTACTGTTGGTGTGACCCAGGTGCATCATCTTGCACTTCATGACATTGAATCTTAGCAGCCATTTCTTCAATCATTCTAGAAGCTCATAGAGATCTTTCTGGTGCTTTTCGCAGTCTGTTTGGTTCTTAATTTCCCTAAATAACTTGGCATCGTCTGCAAACATTTGTATGAAGCAGTGTATAGCTTCTGGCATATAATCTATGAAGCAAACAAACAACAACGGGCCAAATACACTGCCCTGTGGTACCCCGCTTGTCACAGGTATGCATGACGATTTCGTGCCATTAATCACCACACACTGTTTGCGGTCATGCAGAAGGTCTCTGATCCATGCTAGGAAATTTCCCCGAATCCCATATCCTTCCAATTTATTAAACCAAAGGAACTTAAGAGCCTTAATAGAGAACGCAACGGAACTCAACCCTAGCCACCTCCTTGTCATGGGAGACTTTAACTGTGGTGACATCAACTAGAGGAATGATACCAAACCAAATGATCTTAATAATCCCACTACTTTTTTGTAGAAACTATGAGAAAAAATTTTCTATTCCAACATGTTAAATATGCGACACTTGGAAAGGTGTATAAGGAGTTGGTGACCCGTGAGAATTTAAGACTGAATCTGCTTAAAATAGACATGTCAAGTACATTATACGACAATATAGAATGAACCTCATTTGTGCAAAAGTAGGAAGGAGTACATTATACGACAATATAGAATGAACCTCATTTGCACAAAAGTAGGAAGGACTGCTCTGCACTCAACTTCCTTCATATTTCTAACTGGATGAAATTGGGTTTCTTTAAATGTGAGCTCACAACTCATTGGACAGAAGGTGAAAGCTGTGCTGTATCTGCTCGCTAGCCACATCCCCTTTGCATTTACAGAATAACCCAAAGAAGGGTGACCATTCTAGTCCCTCTTAACTATTGCCCCAACTTCATCCCTCTCTAAGATTTTCGAAACTATCCTAAACTCTCATTTTCACCGTCACCTTGAACGCCTTTCTCTTTTGTCGGATCACCAGTATGGCTTTCGCTAGGTGAGATCTACTGGTGATATGCTCTCCTAATGCATCCATCTTTGGTCATCCTCTCTTAGGGATTATGGGGAAACTTTCGTCATGACCCTCGACACATCTGCAGCATTTGACAGAGTATGACACAAGTACTTTCTTTCTAAACTCCCCTTTTATGGTTTCTCTCCTCCACTTTGTTCTCTAATTTCTATCTTCCTTGAGAACCATTCCATGGCAGTTGTTGTCGAGGGATCGACCTCTCGCACTTTCTCTACCAATAGTGGTGTTCCACAGGGTTCTGTTCTTTCACCTACCATCTTCCTTCTTTTATCATTGACTTACTTTACATTTTTTTTAATAACGTGGCCTCCAGCCTCCCCCAATAGCCACACCTTCGCCGACATTTTATTACCTTAATATTAAATATCCTAATACATAAGTAGCTATCCTAGCTGTGTTCAATTAGTTGAGCCGCAGCTCTCGTTTCCCTGAGGTAGAGCAAAGCCGACCGAAGGAGAGAGAAGGACAGTCGACATCTCATCCAGGCTGTAACATAACTTCTGGGCTGCTGCTTCTGTTCAGAGATCACCTCCGCGAGTTTGGCGTAGAAACATCTTGCACTTGGTCCCATCCCACCAGAGGTTGTGAACACTAGAGGCGTGAAGCTGCCTTGATCAACGTTCTGAATTCTCTCCCCGCATGCCCTTATCTTGTCGTTCTCGTTCCTCCTGTGTGCAGCATCGAGAGCTAAGTTACGGTGACATGCGGCCATGGGATAAAAAAATCCTGATGTGGAAGAAGGCTCGCTGTCCCCGCGTCCAGAATCCCCAAGCATTGACGTCAACACGGGCTTCGTTGGATGTGTTTGAGGTCCTATGTTGGAAGATCTCACCGTTCAGTGGAAGGAGGGTCGGTTCTACCATGACATCATGGCAGATTTCCTTCAACATATTTGCTGTGAGATCCCTTACTTCGTCACGCCTCATGCATATGAAGCTCCCTTTCTTGCACACCATGGCGTGATCGACGTCATAGGAAGAGCCACACACGCATTGGGAGGGCAAACCTTCTTCTGGCCTACCGTACCTTAGAGCATTGGCATTTGTAAATTCTTGTTTATTGAGACTAAAACCATTTGCCCTTATCGGTAGCGTAGTTAACCAGTTCGAGGCGCCCACCTCCTGAACTATAGCTATTTTTGTTTTTCAAATTCTTTGGTACTTGCAGCAACAGTTGCTGCAACTTATCACTTTGGCCGTGTTGTCGTTCTGTCGTAATGGACCTTCGAATCTTGTTTACTTCACTGGTATCCACCTCCCTTGTTGCGTTCTGAGCTATTATGTGGTCCGTGAGGGCTGCCGTGAGTTTTGATGTTTAGTGGCAGCAATCTCCTCTGGATTGGTTAGTCCCATTCCTCCCAGTCTCGGTGGTAGTGCAAGGAGTGATCTTTCTGCTGGGGTTAAGTGGGGGTGTTTCACTAATTTGGGAATGGAATTGACGATGATAGCTTCTTCCAGAGGATGGAGGAGGGGTCCGATATCAGGGATAGTGCACATCAGGTAGTTCCAGCGATGCTTGACTCCATGGGTGAATGCCGCAAAAGCCGCATGTGGCTCTGTGTTAGCAATCTCAGACAGAGCTTGAATTTCCCTAACCCACTCATTCACCTTTCCCGTAACGTACTCGATCTTGAAGTCCGTTACTACTAATTCTATCCATTCTTATGCTGATGACTATACTCTTCACTCTTCTCCCTTCCCCAAACTCTCAAACTAGATGTTTCTAGATCTGATATCGTTTCATCTATCAATGCGAATCTGTGCAGTATCTCCGAATGGGAGTTAGAAACTTGGTTAAATTCAATAGTAATACCAATTACACTTTCCAAATTAGATGATCTCCCACCAATCACATTTCAGGATGCAATCATTCTGCCAAGTTCTAAAATAGATACGCTAGGCCTCACCATTTCCTCTAATATGTCATGGAAGCCAAACATCCACAACATTGCGAGAGCTGCCTCCCAAATTCTGGGAATGCTGTACAGATGTCATAGTTACTTCACTCCTGTGCAGTTGCTTCAAGTTTATAGGTTATTAAATTCATCCTAACTTGAAGTACTGCTTTCATATCTGGGGTGGTTCTTCTTCTGTCCAACTGTTAGATAAGAGTGGAATAAAGGGCATTTCGTCTTATTAACTCTCCTCCTGTAGTCGATAATCTCTCTTCCTTTTCTCTTCACTGCAATGTTGTTTCACTCTCTCTCTTTTACAGGTACTTTAACAGGCATTGTTCAGTGGATTTGGCATCCTGAGTATCGCTGGCAAGGCAGTGGACTCCTAACACTCGTCTTGCCCGGGTGCCCACCATTGCTGTGTAGATGTCGGTCACACTAGAATAACCCGTTATAGTACATCCTTCTTTCTTCACACATCCAAACTGCGGAATGATCTGCCTTCTTCTGTGTTTCCATACTCATACAATGTCTCACTTCAAAAAGCTGATTTTCCAGCATCTTCGCGGTGAATAATAAAGTCTTTTTCTTTTCTAATTTTAATTTCTCTTTACTACTCTTCTTTTGCACCCCAGGCCCCATTGTGGGTCAACGATCTGTGCCTGGGTGGGCTATCCCCCGTAGAGCAAAAAAAATTAGCCTGTAGCAATCAGACAACCTTCATGTATGTTTCCAATACCATGACATGTTTGATAAGGGCAGGATTACTCAATAAGAAAAAACATGTATGAGTAACTTATTTTATTCATAGGTGAAACTTGATGCACAATAGAAAGCAAAGGAAGCAAGCACTGCGTAACCTAGTCGACGTGGAGCTAATGTCCTCACATCACGCACACAACTTACTCAACTTTGCTAAAAATAAGGTAAAGTTATTTTAGTACATTGACAGATATATTAACAATATATCTATCTATTTGCAATATATATATATATATATATATATATATATATATATATATATATATATATATATATATATATATATATATATATATATATATATATATATATATATATCACAAGAACTCATAATTTGTCTTGCCATGAGTTAGTAATAACAATAATAATATATAACTGCCACTCTTAAATTATGCCCAGGTTGCTCTACAAACTCAATAATGCCAACAAAATAAAACAATGTTAGAAGTGACTGCTGAAACATAGTTATTGGTAATAGTCTCACGTGTGGTGGCAGCAATAGCAAAATAAAAGCGCATCGGAAGCTTGACAATCCCAGTAGGCATGACCCCCTTACTCTGCTGGTAAAGCAGTGATAATGTTAATTGAGAACTAGTAAACTCCTCAAGTTGATCGTACTAATGCACAAGATAAAAATACCAGAGCAATGAACATATATGACAGCAAAGAAGACAGATTGTTACGCCTACAAAAACAGAGGATCAAAATTATATGGAAATACTGATGCCTGCCTGACATAGCCAGCCTTCCTAAACATGTACAACTGTATATGATGCATGTCTTGGTCCACCGAGAATGGCTTCTAGGCCACGCACAGACGGGTGAAGATCAAATGATCTTAAATAATGTATGAATCATCTACGCAATGCTGTGTGAAAATAGTATACCAAGAATAACATTCCTCTCGATTCCCAGTGCCCATAAGTATTACGGTTAAAGTAATGTGAGCTGGTATAAACGTTACTTATAAAACACGCTGATGACACTGAATAAATGATCTTGGATGACAAGTGCTGCAGCATAATGTAACCTTACATGGATAATCAGCTGGATGAGTATTGCTGAGATAAATGCAACTAGATTTTGTTATTATGGTAACTTTATTTTATCAGCAATAAAGTGAGAATAGCATGGCCGAGGCGCGAGCAGAGGCTAGGCTTAACAGGACCTGGCCCGCATGTCCACTTGTGCTCACCACACTATGCTTACACCTCTCCTGCAACTACTAATGCATTTTTTATTACCTTAATAATTGGTAAAAACTAAATATATAAAATCTGATAAACAATGAGTATACTGTATTAGGAAAATATTGAAGGTACTGGCATTTATTTGGGGTGTTCACTGGCATTGTTGTACCTCTGGTAACCTACTACGGCGGCTTTTCCTTCAGCTGAAATAAATTTCAATATTTTAACTTGTTTTAATATGTTTGAAATAATACATCCTTCATGTATAAGCAAACATACTTATTAACATCATAAATTTAGAATTCACATGATTTTAGCAACATGAAATGGGAGCTTGTCTGCTTGGCTCAGTTGAAGGTAGGCCTACCTGCCCAAACGTACCCCGCCCGTACGTGAAGAAGCGCTGTGCACAAACGATTATACCACTCAAGACAACATGAAACAATTATATACACTCTCACACCTAGCGATCACCCGCCTACGACTCAGTTACATCCCTAGTTTGAAAATAACTGGAATGAACAAGAACAGTCTATGCTTCTCTAGAGTTGTTTTACCTGTCTACAAAGGTGATCTAAATTACATTAAATTGTTGATTTTTTGTCTAGATTTACTTTTGTGCCACTTCGATCTAATACTGAAGAATGCTATACTAATCCAAGTTTAATTTTCTAAAAAGTCATATTGATTGGTTGACCACGGATTTGTCTTTGATACACAATTATGTGAGTCAGTATATACCAGGCACAGCCTGCACCAGTTTCAACTTTGTTCATTATTCATTTCAGGGAACACCATTCTTGACACACCAAGTCTTGGCATCTTAGTTCCAAATATATTCATGTAACACTTATAAATTAATTTGCACCAAGGCGATGAGTGTATGTCGGTCACGTGATGGGTGTGCTGTGCTGGGACCGGTGGCAGCGGCCCAGCGCTATACTCACACCCTCCTGACTCCAAGGGTCCCAGGTGCTATGGGAATATCACGCCCATCCCCCACTCACCCAGGTTAATCCAGTTTCACATTCCTCTACTTTCGGTTTTCCTACTAAACCATCAACAGTAAAATCCCATCCAAACACATCGACAAGCCAATCCTTCACAATCTGGTGTCCTTGATCAGTGCCAGAGCGGACAGTGCGAAGCTGACCAGTTCAGATGGCTATGTTCGCGGGGGTCTGACCCATCCTCTCATATTGTCGAGCCGGCTCCGTGCTCTTCTTCCCATAAATGCCACTGTCACAATACTGACACTATGAACTAATTTTGGTTTGGAAATACTGTATCTTTCACAGTTGATAATGACAAATGCCTTTTGGACAAAAGTATGTCGGAGCCGCCTCGTTTAGCAGTCCCCACGCGAGGAACTTGGTTACATTGCACTGCTCCTCCCTGGTGCAAGCATCTGACAGGGCTACAATACCCTCGAAGCTTAAACTTTCATAACACACTTACTGTCATCTGTAACTGACACACGCCCCCCTGGCGGTGTCTTGCAAGGGCTCAGCTGTGGGCACTCAGCCTCAGGGGGACGTGTGATGAACCAGACGCTCACCCTCTATGCCCGGCTGTCTCTTATGCCCACCCATGATCATTCACTGGGTCCAGACCTGTCGACCCATACCCTCTTCCACCTCATTCGGAAGGGCATTGTACCCAGATACCCCTTGGCTCCTTGTTAGTCTCATTATAATAGTGCTTCCCTCCCCGTGCCCGAACCCAGCTCAGCACATCCTTAATGTGCCAACCACACACCCTAAGCAGCTAGGCCTTGTTACCGCTGCTACAAGTAACCCAGTGTTGCGTAGGTCTTCACAAAAGGTGTATCCACTTTGCAGCTTTCCCTGGAATAATAAAATGCATTAATCAGCATTATGCAAAATCAGTAAAAATTAACAGTAAGCTGTTTTGCTATGTGATCTTTAATATCATTAGATACTTGTGTACATCCAATATACACAATATGATTTTATTAAGTAGCAACTTGAATTACCGTGACTCAGCCAAGGCAAACACAACATCAAGAATACTTCATAAAAGGAGAACTAAAGTTACGACAATAAAAGCAGTCCTAAAGCCAAAGAGGACAACTCTACAGTGAGCCTCGGCTACTGGCGATCAACACTACTGGAAGTATCGCACTTTAACAGTCGTAACTCTTGGTAGCACTGTGTCATGTCCCAGTTACTAGTGGTATGAGTCACTGTAAATTCTACAGTGAATGAGGGTTGTAATACAGTAATTACTGCTGGACTGAAGAAAACATTTTTGGTCAGATTCAGTGCTATTTAAGATTTAGGACTTGACATATTAGAGCAAGTGGCACATGATATAACTGACTGATTTATAACACTACTAGATGATCATAGGAAGTCTTATCAAGCTATAAGATAAAAATCAACAGAATAAAAAAAAAATCATAAACATAGATTGTGATTTTTTTTCAGAAATTTTGTTGTTAATTAAAAAAACAAATACAAAAATCTTATAAAATATATAACTATGTGTGCCTCATGCTGAAGAAGACTGTCTGATAGCAGCTTAAACACCAAACTTAATCTGCCACACAACACTGGAGTAGCACACTGATGGAACACTCACATGAACCCCTTGGGAAGAAGAGGAGGTTGCATGTCCAGGCTAGCCCAGCACCTCTCCACCCCATGGGCAGGAGAGGGCTGTGGGCTGCCAAGTAATGACATTATCATTTGCAAGGGCTTGATTTAAGTATTGAACTATTGATATTATATGGATCAAATATATGACAACCCAAGAAAGTCCACAAAAAAGCATTTCCTATAGGTATAGTATAATAAAAAAATGAACCACTTATGATCATGATTTTACATAAGGTACATTGTCTAATCTCCTCCCGGATCCTTCCCACAGTGTTGGTGGTGGGAGCAAGGTGGTGGGCGGGGAGGCAGGCCACCCCGCCCACACAAACCCAACTCTTCCATGAAAAAGCCAACAGAGAGACCTCACACCACTACGGATTTCTTGATGGTTTATTAGTATTTGAGAAAATGAGAGAATTTGTTGGGCAATTGTTAAAAGAAAAAACTATACTTGTATGTATATAATCTCTTTAATTCATCAAAACTTATTAATGTTTGTTATAAGAAAATCGTTTTCAGCACTTTAATTTGTTGTTGTAAAACCCACAGAGTAGGTTGTTGAAGTCCTTGAATATAGTAAATCTTTTCAGAGTAAATATTAAAATATTATTTACTTTCAACAAAAAACCTTTTGTAAGGTCACCAACTGTTTGTGTTTGTAATGACCTTTTCTAAGATAGTGCACATCTATTGAATTGAAGAGATTTTATTTATACAAACACACATACACAAAAATATATATATATATATATATATATATATATATATATATATATATATATATATATATATATATATATATATATATATATATATATATATATATATATATATATATATATATATCTATATATATATATATATATATATATTACCAATTAGGCTTGAACGGAGTCCCATTGAGAGAGGCAGGAATACAAGGTTAGCTAGGGCAGAAGTTAAAGAACAACTGGCTTTTCCCATCACTTGTCTCAGATCACTTATGGCTCAGTGGCAATACTTCTGCCTCTCATTTGGGAACCCAGATTCCAACCTCTCTGGTGTCGGTAAAGTACAGTATGTTATATGGATGCGTGAGTGTTTGCACAGTTTCTGAATACATATATTATCATTCCAGCACCAACTGATAAATTTGGATGATTAAGTGAAATCCGTGTTGGTGTGGAAGGTGGTTGGGCGTGGCAGCACGTGAAGGAAACAAAGGTAAGACGAGTGTGACGGTGAGGCCCCTACCTCGAGTGAGATAAGGTACACCAGGCGAGCCTTTCAGAGCCAAGTGGGAGTTAGTGAACTGAAACAGACAAGAATCAGAGGGTGTTACACACATAGTGCCGAGGGGCGAAGGTTCACAAGGAGAAGGCTGGTAGTCTGGCACTCTCAAGGCTAAGAAAAGCTGGGACCTGGCACACTTAGGTTAAGGAGGTTGCAGGGTGTCTGGCACTCTTAAAGCACGGTGGAAGTAAAAGTTCCAGCACTCTCAGGGCAGGATTAAAGAAGAGAATATGAAACTGTCAGGATAGGAAAGGCAGAAGGGGAGTTGGTGCACCCTGGGTGTGAAGGAACCAGAGATTCTGGAATTACTCAAAATAGGATGATGACTGACATGTGGCTAATTGAGAAAAAAAATTAGGAGGGAGTGTGACGCATGTAAAATAGGAAGGAAACAAAATGATCAGGCACTCTCAGGGCAGGAAGCAAGAGGTAGCCTGATGCTCTCAGGACGAGGCATAAGGGTCTTGACTCTCTCGGGGATAACAGCACACTAGTAACCAGAATTCTTATGCCAGCAAAATTCCCAGCACTCTTGATGAAAATAAGACTACGGATATTTTATCACTCTCAAAGTCAGGTTAACAGTGATAAACACTCTCAGGACAGGCAGGGTGTTGAAGGTGTATACCTCCCGGAGTTTGGGGAGAATTGTGGGGTATGACACTCTTAGGGTAGGTAGTGTGCCGAGTATTTGGCACTCTCAGGGCAAGACAACTATTAATTAAGCCTTTACACTGCCTTCCTTTTAATTGTCTAGTTAAACAAGAAGGCCAGTAGTGGTAGTTAAGGTTATCTAAACCACTAGATTTTCCAGCTGTCCATAATATGATGTATGGTAATTCCCAATAGGGGATGGCTTATGAGTATATAAAGCAAACAATTGAAGCAATATCTCTTTCCTAGTCATTACTTCAGAAACAATATAAATATTATAATCGAGCGAAAAATTAACACTTATTGGCAGTACTGTACTGCAGTGGTTGATTATTAGGCCACCACTTGTCACTTGGGCTGGTAAGTAAGTAACTAGTGATCAACAGCTTCCTTTATTTAAAAAAAATATATATTGTTTATCTTGTAAAACTATATGCAGCATCCAAAATCATTTACCTACCTAGATACACAAGAACAGTCAAGATCAATGATGACAAACAGGTAGAAACATACATGTAGTTCACCAATCACAAACTGTGGTGGGTGAGTTGGAATCCATAGATAGTAAATCACACAAACTCATTCACTATCGTCTTCCTCTCGCCACACTTACATTAACTTACTTACTCTGTTACACACACCCCAGCCTCTACAGTTTTTCTTACACAAGCACATGTATGCATGGCTCACACATGAATATGCAACAAGGATAAATTGTCCTATACCCAGGCACGATATTCACACCACTTTGGGGGTCTCTTTCAGCTCCTGCTTGTACTGTATCAGTAGACAGAAAGAAAAAAAAGATGGTGCAACTCGTTTGAAATGGTCATACATAATAATAATAATAATAATAATAATAATAATAATAATAATAATAATAATAATAATAATAATAATAATAATAATAATAGTCTGTGTGTGTGTGTGATATTTGTTTCATACTACGTTTTTAGTCTCCAGATGAGGAAGAATTTATGTGAAGAAACCCAAGTGAGCAATAATTTTGCTTATAATACTTTATGGCAAATACAGTATAGTAAAACCCAGATTAGTTTTATGGCCATTAACGTACACAATTTATACTGCATAATTATAATAAAACAAAACAGCATCAGTAGAAATAACAGCTTGATCAGTCTTCATAATCGGTCACATGTTTTGGGGGACTTATTTTATCTTTCTTCACTGAACACGGCAGTAACAGGCAAGCACAAGTAGTTCACAAAACAATGAATATAACTTTGAATGAATAAAAATGAAAAGGAAAGAAAAAAATTGAGAGACCTAAAACCCGTTCTCTAACAAAACATCCATGGCAGTTCACCTCAAAGCAATGTGGTGGAGATGGGGATGAAGGTGGTGATGGGGTAAAGTAGGTGATGTTGGTGGAGAAGGGTCTAATGTTGGGGAAGGAGGGACTAATGTTGATGAAAGAGGAATTAATGTTGGTGGAAGAGGGGATAAAGATGGTGGAGGGGGCGATGTTGGTGGAGGGGTGGTGATGGAGGGACTAATGTTGGTGGAGAGGTGGCGAAGGTGGTAATGGTGGTGATACAAGAGATGGTGGTGAATGTGATGGTGATGAAGGTGATCGAGATGGTGATGAAGGTGGAGGTGATGGTGGTGAAAGTGGAGGTGATGGTGGTGGAGGTGATGGTGGTGAAGATGGAGGTGATGGTGGTGGAGGTGATGGTGGTGAAGGTGATGGTGGTGAAGGTGGAGGTGATGGTGGTGAAGGTGGAGGTGAAGGTGATGGAGGGGGAGTTGGTGGTATAGGTCATGGTGGTGGTGGAGGGATAATGGTGGTGCAAGTGACTGAAGGTGATGTGTTCTGATCTCGCTAGGGGAAAGGTCACGACAGACTTAGCTCCCGGGGATAAATTGTCGGTAATGGCTAGTGCTACTTGTGAACAGGGCTGAGCTACTGGCCGAGTCAGTGAAGGTCAAAGAAGAAAACTTGAAATTAAAGGAGTGATAGCGAGGATGAAGGAAGAAGACACGAGACAAGAAAAAGTCCGTGTCTGACGAAAACTCAAGCGAATGGAAGGTTGTGAGGAGAGGGACGACCAAAATGGTAGTGAGAAAAGACACCAAGGAAACGACAACAGCTAAGTGTAAAAACTCTTTTAGTCCTTTGATAGACGAATTGGACGTTGCCATAATCAGGGACAGGGTTGACAAGGAAGGTACGAAAGCCTTAATTGTTGGCGATTCCCAGGTACGGCACCTGGATAGAGCTTTTAGTTGACAGGATGGACAATATCTTGTCTGGTAATGGGAACAAACCCATTATTTGCCTCAGTGCAGGAGACAATGATATTGGCCGGTGTAGGAGTAAGGAGTTCCTTGATAAGTTCAAGCCAGCTATTGAACGTTGAAGGGAGGGATCCCTATCATATGTGGTGTCCTGCCTAGAAGGAGAGTTGGCAATGAATGGTTGTCAAGGGCAGTTGGTGTCAACGGCCGTCTTGACAGATATTGCAGGTAAATATCAGTCTCATTCATTGACAACTGGGACAACTTTTACGGCAGAAGGGACTTTTATGCTAGGGATGGGGTGGCAACCCTGGCTGGCTCTCTCGAGAGGGTAGTTCAAAAGATGTCGAAGTCTTCAAACTGATAGGGGAACATATGGGCACGGAGGTGGAGGAGACTGCAGTGGGAGACGGGTAAACAAAGTGAAAGGTTACAGGGAAACAGTGCTAGGAATGAGGACAAAACTAAACTAGGCAGGGAGTTAAAACCTAAACGTGTCAAAGAGAGGACTCAGAACACGACTAACTTAAATGTCTACTACGCAAACAGTAGGAGTATGTGAAACAAAATGGATGAAATTTGGGCGTTGGTGTGTACCGAAAAAATCAATATATAATAGCATTCACCGAAACATGGATAAATTTGGACTCACGAAAGTTACTTTCCGAATACCAAATTGCAGGTTACAAATTATTCCATACCGCTAGGCAGATTAGCAAAGGAGGCAGAGTAGCAATATATGTAAGGGATAATCTGAAGTGTGAAATAAACAAGGAAATAAAAACTGAACTGAATACAGAAACAATTTGGATAGAATTAATCGATGGTAGGGAAAAATTAATCGCAGGAGTAATATATAGACCTCCTAATCTTGATAGAGTTAATGAGCGACTTATTTGGGATGAAATGCGCAGGGCGTCCATGTATAGCAAAATCTGTATAGTAGGCGACTTTAACTTTAGCCAAATGGATTGGATCGACCTTACAGGTAACTCAGATGATTTTCTTGAAACAGTTCAGGACTGTTTCCTAAGTCAACATATAACCGAACCCACCCGGGGTAATAATATACTAGATTTAGTCCTGTCAAACAGAGAAAACCTCATTAGTAATGTCGAGGTAGGGAACGAACTTGCCAACAGCGATCACAAAGAAATAAGATTTCAATTAAAATTTAATGGCAGTCGCAAGGAAAATTCCATTTAAGTCCAGATTTCAGAAGGGCAAACTTTGATAGGTTGAAAAGGCAGCCGAGAGAAAGGGTATCACATTTGGGGATTGGATTACATGACTTCACTTTACCTGGAGACATGACAACGATATCCTCACAAAATATGACGGTTGAAGATGACCTGATCAGGAGATCTGAGGTTGACGAGTTCCACAACAATTTAAATAACGAGTTACTTAATGCACAAAGGCAGAACATACCATACAGAAAATTCAGATCAGACAACAATGACCCTAAATGGATAAATAATTATTTAAAGAATATTATTGGACAAGGGAAGACTATAGGTAGTAGAATAAATAGTGGTGAAGTTTACCTCCGAGATTATTATAAGGTATTGATTGGCTAGTAGGGTTAGAGGAATAATGAACTGAAGGTAGCAAGGGAGGCGAAGTCAAACCCAAGGGATTCTTTCAAATGTATTAAACTAAAACACGAGAAATGATTGGACCAATACCGTCAGATACCGGTTAGCCAACTGATAACGACGGAGAAATGAGCAATAATCTGAATAAATATTTTTCAACAGTTTTCACCACCGAAAATTTAAACATGATACCCGAGGCACCGACTCTATACAGAGATAGTGAAGAAAATATATTAAGCGAGATAGGAGTGACTAGTACCGACGTTAGTAAGCAAATAGACAAGCTAAAGCCTAATAAGTCGCCAAGTCCCAATGATATATTTGCCAGAGTATTAAAGGAATGTAAGGAAGAGCTTAGTATGCCTTTAGCAAATTTGTTTAACCTGTCCTTAAAAACGGGTGGAGTACCAGAATCATGGAGGATAGCGAATGTAATACCAATTTTCAAGAAGGGAGATAGATCACTATCCTCTATCCAATCAGCTTAACATCAATTGTAGGCAAATTA